AAAAAAAAAAAAAAAAAAAAAAAAAAAAAAAAAAAAAAAAAAAAAAAAAAAAAAAAAAAAAAAAAAAAAAAAAAAAAAAAAAAAAAAAAAAAAAAAAAAAAAAAAAAAAAAAAAAAAAAAAAAAAAAAAAAAAAAAAAAAAAAAAAAAAAAAAAAAAAAAAAAAAAAAAAAAAAAAAAAAAAAAAAAAAAAAAAAAAAAAAAAAAAAAAAAAAAAAAAAAAAAAAAAAAAAAAAAAAAAAAAAAAAAAAAAAAAAAAAAAAAAAAAAAAAAAAAAAAAAAAAAAAAAAAAAAAAAAAAAAAAAAAAAAAAAAAAAAAAAAAAAAAAAAAAAAAAAAAAAAAAAAAAAAAAAAAAAAAAAGCAAGATATGGTGTTTATGGAAAATTAAGCTATTTACTTAATAAATTAAGGGTAAGATGTTGCGTTCTCAGATTTATTGGCTTTTTACACTATAACTTACCGGTAAGATATGGTGTTTTTGGAAATTAGGCTATTTACTTAATAAATTACTTGTAAGATGTTGCGTTCTCTGATATATAGGCTTTTTACACTATAAACTTACCGGCAAGATATGATGTTTTTGGAAAATTAGGCTATTCACTTAATAAATTATGGGTCAGATGTTGCGTTCTCAGATTTATAGGCTTTTTACACTAAAACTTACCGGTAAGATATGGTGTTTTTTGAAAATTAGGCTATTTACTTAATAACTTACTTGTAAGATGTTGCGTTCTTTGAGATATAGGCTTTTTACACTATAACTTCCCGGTAAAATATGGTGTTTTTTGAAAATTAGGCTATTATTTAATAAATTATGTGTAAGATGTTGCGTTCTAAGATATATGGCTTTTTACACTATAACTTACCGGTAAGATATGATGTTTTTTGAAAATTAGGCAATTTACTTAAAAAATTACGGGTAAGATGTTGCGTTCTTAGATATACAGTCTTTTTACCCTATAACTTACCGGCAAGATATGGTGTTTTTGGAAAATTAGGCTATTTACTTAATAAATTAAGGGTAAGATGTTGCGTTCTCAGATTTGTAGGCTTTTTACACTATAACTTACCAGTAAGATATGGTGTTTTTGGATACTTAGGCTATTTACTTAATAAATTACTTGCAAGATGTTGCGTTCTCTGATATATAGGCTTTTTACACTATAAATTACCGGTAAGATATGGTGTTTTTGGAAAATTAGGGTATTTAGTGAATAAATTACAGATAAGATGTTGCGTTCTTAGATATATAGGCTTTTTACACTATAACTTACCGGCAAGATATGGTGTTTTTGGAAAATTAGGCTTTTTACTCAATAAATTATGGGTAAGATGTTGCGTTATGCGTTTTACACTATAAGTTACCTATAAGATATGGTGTTTTTAGAAAAATTGGCTATTTAGTCAAAAAATTACGGGTAAGATGTTGCCTTCTCAGATATATAGGCACTTTACATTACAACTTACCGATAAGACATGGTGTTTTCCGAAAAATATGCAATTCACGTAATAAATTACGGGTAAGATGTTGCGTTCTCAGATATATAGGCTTTTTACACTATAACTTACCGGTACGATATGGTGTTTATAGAAAAATAATCTATTTACTTAATAAATTACGGGTAAGATGTTTGCGTTCTTAGATATATAAGCACTTTACACTATAACTTACCGGTAAGATATGGTGTTTTTAGAAAAATAGACAATTCACTAAATAAATTACAGGTATAATGTTTCGTTCTCAGATATATAGGCCTTTTACACTATAACTTACAGTTAAGATATGGTGTTTTTGGAAAATTAGGCTATGTACTTAATAAGTTATGGGTAAGATGTAGCGTTCTTCGATATATTGGCTTTTTACACTGTAACATACCGGCAAGATATGGTGTTTATGGAAAATTAAGCTATTTACTTAATAAATTAAGGGTAAGATGTTGCGTTCTCAGATTTATTGGCTTTTTACACAAAAACTTACCGGTAAGATATTGTGTTTTTGGGAAATTAGGCTATTTACTTAATAAATTACTTGTAAGATGTTGCGTTCTCTGATATATAGGCTTTTTACACTATAACTTCCCGGTAAAATATGGTGTTTTTTGAAAATTAGGCTATTATTTAATAAATTATGTGTAAGATGTTGCGTTCTAAGATATATAGGCTTTTTACACTATAACTTACCGGTAAGATATGATGTTTTTTGAAAATTAGGCAATTTACTTAAAAAATTACGGGTAAGATGTTGCGTTCTTAGATATACAGTCTTTTTACCCTATAACTTACCGGCAAGATATGGTGTTTTTGGAAAATTAGGCTATTTACTTAATAAATTAAGGGTAAGATGTTGCGTTCTCAGATTTGTAGGCTTTTTACACTATAACTTACCAGTAAGATATGGTGTTTTTGGATACTTAGGCATTTACTTAATAAATTACTTGCAAGATGTTGCGTTCTCTGATATATAGGCTTTTTACACTATAAATTACCGGTAAGATATGGTGTTTTTGGAAAATTAGGGTATTTAGTGAATAAATTACAGATAAGATGTTGCGTTCTTAGATATATAGGCTTTTTACACTATAACTTACCGGCAAGATATGGTGTTTTTGGAAAATTAGGCTTTTTACTCAATAAATTATGGGTAAGATGTTGCGTTATGCGTTTTACACTATAAGTTACCTATAAGATATGGTGTTTTTAGAAAAATTGGCTATTTAGTCAAAAAATTACGGGTAAGATGTTGCCTTCTCAGATATATAGGCACTTTACATTACAACTTACCGATAAGACATGGTGTTTTCTGAAAAATATGCAATTCACGTAATAAATTACGGGTAAGATGTTGCGTTCTCAGATATATAGGCTTTTTACACTATAACTTACCGGTACGATATGGTGTTTATAGAAAAATAATCTATTTACTTAATAAATTACGGGTAAGATGTTGCGTTCTTAGATATATAAGCGCTTTACACTATAACTTACCGGTAAGATATGGTGTTTTTAGAAAAATAGACAATTCACTAAATAAATTACAGGTATAATGTTTCGTTCTCAGATATATAGGCCTTTTACACTATAACTTACAGTTAAGATATGGTGTTTTTGGAAAATTAGGCTATGTACTTAATAAGTTATGGGTAAGATGTAGCGTTCTTCGATATATGGCTTTTTACACTGTAACATACCGGCAAGATATGGTGTTTATGGAAAATTACGCTATTTACTTAATAAATTAAGGGTAAGATGTTGCGTTCTCAGATTTATTGGCTTTTTACACTATAACTTACCGGTAAGATATGGTGTTTTTGGGAAATTAGGCTATTTACTTAATAAATTACTTGTAAGATGTTGCGTTCTCTGATATATAGGCTTTTTACACTATAACTTACCGGCAAGATATGATGTTTTTGGAAAATTAGGCTATTCACTTAATAAATTATGGGTCAGATGTTGCGTTCTCAGATTTATAGGCTTTTTACACTAAAACTTACCGGTAAGATATGGTGTTTTTTGAAAATTAGGCTATTTACTTAATAACTTACTTGTAAGATGTTGCGTTCTTTGAGATATAGGATTTTACACTATAACTTCCCGGTAAAATATGGTGTTTTTTGAAAATTAGGCTATTATTTAATAAATTATGTGTAAGATGTTGCGTTCTAAGATATATAGGCTTTTTACACTATAACTTACCGGTAAGATATGATGTTTTTTGAAAATTAGGCAATTTACTTAAAAAATTACGGGTAAGATGTTGCGTTCTTAGATATACAGTCTTTTTACCCTATAACTTACCGGCAAGATATGGTGTTTTTGGAAAATTAGGCTATTTACTTAATAAATTAAGGGTAAGATGTTGCGTTCTCAGATTTGTAGGCTTTTTACACTATAACTTACCAGTAAGATATGATGTTTTTGGATACTTAGGCTATTTACTTAATAAATTACTTGCAAGATGTTGCGTTCTCTGATATATAGGCTTTTTACACTATAAATTACCGGTAAGATATGGTGTTTTTGGAAAATTAGGGTATTTAGTGAATAAATTACAGATAAGATGTTGCGTTCTTAGATATATAGGCTTTTTACACTATAACTTACCGGCAAGATATGGTGTTTTTGGAAAATTAGGCTTTTTACTCAATAAATTATGGGTAAGATGTTGCGTTATGCGTTTTACACTATAAGTTACCTATAAGATATGGTGTTTTTAGAAAAATTGGCTATTTAGTCAAAAAATTACGGGTAAGATGTTGCCTTCTCAAATATATAGGCACTTTACATTACAACTTACCGATAAGACATGGTGTTTTCCGAAAAAGCCTATCACATCTTACCCTTAAACATCATCTAAACCAACCTACCAGAATTGCCAATTCCTTCACAATTCAGGCAATATGGACCCAAAATGGATACTAAAAACAATTGTAGTGATTATCCAAAATCTACTTCGAATACTCTCAGAAAACTTTTGGATCTTGTCCAGAACTTCCCCATCACTCTGTATAACTGCATCCCTTGGAGCATGAAGAGCTACATGAAGCACTGATCTATTTTATGTGCTGTTTATCTGAAGGCACCACACAGAAAAAGAAAAACAGAATGCAAAAGAATCACATGATAATGGTTTCAGTAATAAGCTGGTCTCATCTTTACCATAAATCCTATAAAGCTATCAAATACAAGTTTTTTGTGATTTCAGACAGTTAAAAGGTCAGAAATTTGGGCATCCTAATTTTAATTAGGAGACACCAACTAGCTATTGTTCTACTGCTAGTTCTCTCCACTTTGTTGGAAGAGGTTCCAAATTTTAATCCCTTCCCCTAGATCCGAAAAATAAATTTAAAAAAATAAATAAATAGGAAACACATCTTGCTGATTGCAGATAAAACGTGTTTAAATTAGCATTTTAATTCCATATTTATCCACATAATACTCGACCAAAGGAAGATAAACTTGAATCTCCACCAAACATTCGGTTAATCTTTTCTTTGAGGGATGCAGCCTGCATTGTGGCATAGACAACATCAATTAGAAAACACTATATTCACCCAATCCCTCCCCCCACAAGACAGGAGTGTGAAATTGCCTGAGAGTGGGGGTGCATTTGTGGATGGGGACATGAGCCTTGAGGCATGTAAAGAGAAGTGTTTGGAGAACTGTTCTTGCACTGCTTATTGTTACATGGAGATTTCAAAGGGAGGGAGAGGTTGCGTCATGTGATTTGGGGAGCTAATGGACATGAGGGTATATGCAGATGGTGGCCAAGATCTCTATGTTTTAGGCGGGGGCTAGGCTGGGGCTAGGCGGGCTAGCGGCTGGGCTGGAGCTAGGCTCGCTAGGCGGCCTCTAGGCGGTCTAGGCGGGCGACATGAGGGTATATGCAGATGGTGGCCAAGATCTCTATGTTCTGGGTGGGGGTTCGGCGGGCTAGGCGGGCTAGGCGGTCGCTAGGCGGGGTCTAGGCGGTCTAGGCGGGCGCTGCGCCTTGAAAAAAAAACGCCATTTTGGAATCTCCAAGGTCAGGGAAGAGATCACGATGGTGCTATGAGCGAGAGACAGAGAGATGAGGATTGAAGAAGAAGTCTGAGCGAGAGAGAGGGGCTGGAAGACGGCTCTTGTTAGAGTTAGGGTTTGAGAAGGAAAATTGCATTTATATGTTGAAGGAAAAAAAAACAAAAGAAGAGATGGGCCCCCGATTACTTCTCATTCTGAAACCCCTTTTATTTTTCTCTCTGTGTTTTGTTCCACTATTCAGTTCTGTCCTCTTTTATGTTGGTTGGTAGATCTTCATCAATCATCAAAGTTCTTTTTTCTCGTAATATTTATGTGATCTTTTTTTCTTTTTTTTTCTTTTTGTGTGTGTGTGTGTATGCAGTGCAGGTGCCAAAGACTGGAAAAGGCAAGAAAAAAGGCCACCGATACCAACAACAATGACATCCTTCAGGGCTTTTCCTGTGGCACCAACCTACCAGAATTGCCAATCACTTCACAATTCAGGAAATATGGACCCAAAATGGATACTAAAAAAATTGTAGTGATTACCCAAATTCACAAGGTTCACCCTAATTTATGGAAACCAAGGAGTGGCTTAGAGCTGATGAACAATGACCTTCCCAGCACCAACCCTGAAGAGGCTATGTCCTGCTTTGATTTGTCCAAGAATGATTCATCTCTCATATCAGCAACAGGAGGGATGATCTCCACTTTTGACATGACAACATTTAAGGTAAACCCAACACAAATAGTATTCTTGAAATTTTCTTTTCCCATCCAAAACTTCCTAAATCTTGTTTGTCAATATGCGTAGGTTCTGTTTGCAAATTTCTCATGATCTAACTCATTGTACTCATAAACATCTGTTGCATAAAAACGCAGACAATGAAAAAAGTCATGCCACCGCCACCTGTGGCAACATGTCTTGCTTTTCACCCCCGAGATGACAGTATAGTTGCTATTGGCATGGAAAATTGTAATATACAATCTCCACTCAGATGAGGTAGTTTGTTTGTTCTTGTAAAAAAAACAAATCATGCTCGATGTTGTGATAAAGCAAACCTGAAAAGTTTGTCATTGCCTCGATTTATATATTTTGCAGGTTACAAGGAAGCTTGAGGGTCACGCCAAAAGAGTCACTAGCCTTTCCTTGAGGCCATTGACAAGTGAAAACATCATTTTTTTTAAGCTTCTTATAATCTATACATAAACAATCTCTTAAAAAATACCATGTTCTGCAAGTTTTTGGTTCATTCTTGACAGCAATTGTCACGCCAAGGCATTAGATATCCTCATGAAGGATCTCAAAAATTTTGCCGAAGGTAATGAGGAGCTGTTCAAAGAAATGCATCACATGTGTATGGGTTCAATCCAACAGGGATCATAAGGCACCCTCTATATGCGGAGATATAATGTCCATGAGGAAGACTATGATGAAAGAACTGAGGCAAATCCAGTTTTCTGTGGCAAACTGAAGTATCCTAGCATCAAAAGTCATAGATTAAATAATCTCATTAACCAAAGGTAATGCTTCCTCCTAGTTTTGGTCTTCCTTTCTATTTTGTGATTGCATATGTTCATACATATGCATGTGCGCGTTTGTGTGTGAGAGAGAGTACTTTATTCTCATATTTAGTAAAAGATTTAGTCACTTTCTGGTTTTTGTAATTGGGAGAGAGACTGACTTGTGTGTTTAACTTGACAGCTTGAACTGGCAACATAAAGAGTGTAAAAACCCTCGTCCAAATCCAGTCATTAATACTCTTTTCGTTGATCATGTTTGTGAACCACAGGAAGATGTTCCTTTGCCTCTACCAATTGAAAACAATTTGGAAGTAAGATATGTTCTGGTGACATAAATTTATTTTTCCTAAGTATTTGTCCTCATTAACCAATGATCCTGCTCGGTGTCTACACTTACTGATTTTTGTCCAAATCCAGTTATTAAAACCCTTTTCATTGATCATGTTTGTGAATGGCAGGACTGTTTGTCTTTGTCTCTATCGACTGGGAACAGTTTGCAAGTAACATATGTTCTGGTAAACTGAAATTCTTTTCTTATTGGTCCCCATTAACCAATGCTTCCTGCTCATCAGCCACACTAACCTTATGTATTTAGCCTTCACAAGCAACACCAAATTCACTTCCAACTTCTTCTGCTGAGCCAAAAGTTTATCTGTAACACAAGGTGCGCTTTCTCCAGGAGCAGTATCTCTCAATGCTGCAAAGAGCCTAGGTATTTTATTTTAGTTCTTCAAGGGATGTTGTTGGGTACTGGTACCCTCTAATTTATGTTTGAAGTGTGTCGTCATTTTACACATTGCATAGTTGTTATTATTAACTTTTGGTTACATTTTTGTGGCTACAGCTATAGAGGTTATTGACTATCCATGCTTGGCCAAAAAAATGTTCTTTCCGATTTCGGATGAGGTAATCTGAATCAAATTTATGTACAAAATTACATAATAGAACTTGTGTTTCTTGACCTTGGTTTTCTTTCATTTGTTTAGGTAAAATCAACTGTTACTGATCCTGGCCAAAGTCACATGTCCACAGTTGCCATACCCAATGGTTTGCCCACTACTGTTGCCCTGACACTAAATGAGGGCTCATCTCCAATGAGCACGGATTTTCATCCCATTTGGCAGACAATTCTTCTATGTTAAGTAAGGAGAAACTATGTTCTTTTTTCTTTTCTTCCATCGTTATAAATTTCCTGTCTTTTTAGGATGATCGTGTGCGGTAACTACTTTTGATAGTTCACTCATGAATCCTGCTAATGTGATTCTTCAGTTGGAACTTGAGTTGGAGACATAGGACCACCATGGGATGTTAGTTCCGGGGTAAAGTTGCTTTCGAGAAATTTTAGAGTCTGGAATCTTGACACAGGCCCAATGGCCTTAAAGGTGCATCTACTTCTGGATTATGCACTATTCTTTCAACCTTACTAATATGATCCGAAATTTGAACCAATATCAATTATTTCAGGAAGCTCTGGTCAAAGATTAATATGTATTTGTTAAATGTATCCGATGGAGTCTTGATGGTTCTATATTTGGTGAGAATGTTCTCGTACTTAAATGGTATGTAGTTGCTGATTTTCATTTCTTGTAGTTCATATTCATTGCCGTCGTCTTCTTCATTGAACAGCGGTTGCATATGCAAAGCACATTGTGCAATTATATTCTTATAATGGAGGCAACAACATTTTTGTAAAAATAGTATCGCCGGGCGGCTATACTTGCATTTTTTAATGTTTTTAAAAATAGTATAGCCGGGCGGAGATTATTTTTTTGACACGTGGGCGTCTAATCGAAGGGGGTCCTCTTTCTTTTACATGTATAAATAGTATAGCCATTCGGCTATACTTGGGTTTTTTTTGTTAAAAAGGTATAGCCGGGCGGCTATACTCACTCTATTCTTTTTTCCTTTTTCTTTAAAGTTAATATAGCCGGTCTGTTATACCTATTTTGACTGGTGGGCGCAAGGGGGTCCACTTTTTTCACATAGTATAGCCGCACGGTTATACCCGATTTTTTGGCTTTTTGTTTTAAAAATAGTATGGCCAGTCGGCTGTACTCGGTTTTTCTTTTTAAGAAAATAAAAAACCTCTCCCGACGAACTATCGTCGGCAGAGATCTATGCCGGCAAAGTTTTGCTGAATTAGACATCTCCCGACGAAAGTTACTTCTGCCGACGAAGTTTTGTCTGGAAATGTCTAATCTGGCAAATTTCGTCGGGATAGAAATTTGCCGACGAACTTTCATTGGAAGAGATTTTTAAAAAATTAAATAAATATAAACTTAGTATGTTTAGGTTAATTAATTTTTTAAAATTTTATTTTTATTAATTAAATATTATCTTTGTCTTATTTTATTTATTATTTCTTTAGTGAATAATTAGTATTAAATATTTTAATTAACTTGATGAGTTATATTACTCAATAAATAGTAATTCAATTTTTCTACTTTTAGAGTATAGTCGCATGACTATATTCTTTAAATATATTTCCACATTGCACCAACAATAAAAATAAGGATTTATATGTAGGCTTATCTTTTGAGGTGCCCTTTTTTGAGAAGATGGTTTGGTAAGTGTGGTTAACATTGGAAAGTTGGGCTAATGGGCTGGGCTGTAGGCTCGACTTTGATTAATAATAATTATATCAATCAAAGACTAGGGCCTTGTGCCTTGGGGCTCTTGGGATCTGGATAAATTTAATTAAGACACCCAAACAAAAATAAGTAATTTAATGGGATCCTTTTTTTCTTTTAAATATTTTTCCCCGATTATCGATAAGAGTAGTTTAAAACACCTAGAGTAATTACCCGAACAAAGAATTTAGCACTTTCACGTTTAATAGTGTACATGTACGCACGTATTTTTAACAAAAGTTTCAATAAGACACATAGAATTAACGTATTATATAAATAATTCTCACCTATTATTGAATAAAAATAATATATATTAAAATATTGTATAGTGACCTACCTTATAAGTTGTAAAGTGGTCCCTGTTTTTTAATAAAAATAAATTATTTTTCTGATTTTGTTTTTTCAAACATAGTCTAGCCGATCGGCTGTACTCAATTTTTTTTCCAAATTTTTAAAAAATAGTGTAGCCGGGCGGTTATACTTATTTTGACACGTGGGCACCTAATCGTTGGGGGGTCATTTTTTACGTGTATAAATAGTATAGCCGCACGGCTATACTTCGGTTTTTAATGTTTTTGTAAAAATAGTATAGCTTCATGTGTCTGCACACCTGGCTGCAGCTATTCTGTTATGTATCATTTTCAAGACCTACATGAACAGAGAAGAAGCACACCTTTCTCATCCTGTATACTAATGTGATTTATGATCTTGGCAGTTATTCTGTCCTTGCCTGTTATATTTGTTCATCTATTATTTTAACTTTCAGACAATTCAATCATTTTTGTTTATGTTGAGAATTGCCTAAAAAGATAGCCATATGACACTGGGATACAATGGACTTTTGGCCTCTATCCAGCATGCATCAAGTATTTCATGTCTGCATTCGACGTTCCAGAGGTATGGAAAGCTCTTTTGCAAACTTATTTTTACTCTTCTTTGTTGCATTCTGACGATGAAGAAATCTTATCAGGTTATGGCTGTAACCCGAAACAATATATGCAAGAATGGGATGGCATAATCTATTATGCTTCCGTCTTCCTTTATTTCTAGGTGTTCTCAACTCCTGTAGTTTCTTTAGTACTTGGAAGTTAATTATATATCTGCATGAACTGGCTTCACATACACTTTGACGAAGCCTTCTCCTCCCTCCGAATTGCTAATTACAAGTCATTCACCCGATTCCACATCAAAAGTGACGGGGATCTTGAAGTCTACACTCTTGCAGTTGATAAGGTAAGAATGTGATGCGTATTTGGGACTTTTAAGAGTTTAAAGCTAATTAAAACATGCAGGTCCCGAAAGAGTGGAAGCTAGACCCTGAATGGGATAGGGAGCCAAGACAGCCACAACAAATAAGCCACCTTAGAAAGTTTCCTAACAAGTGGAGAGCAGCTGCCGCTCAACTGGATCCGTTAAATACCGTTAAAATTGTTGATCACTTTGTTATTCGACAAACAGATAAAACTGTTAATGGAGCAAGTGATGGATCAGTAATTAGCTAATCTGGGCTTGTGTTCTATCTGTAACATTATTGTAGTTCCCTTCGCTTAGATAGCAATGAAAGAAAAAATGAAAAAAAATGGTATAGCCGCACGGCTATACTCTTTAAATATATTAGTTAGGGACGACAGCTATAGTACAGCCGACCGGCTATACCTTTCAAATATATTATTAAAGGAGAATAGCCTAGCGACCATACTTTTTAAATATATTATTTAAACAGTCTAGCCGGGCGGCTATACAATTTATAAAATAAAATAAGAAGTGCCCGCCTAGCCCGCCTAGGCGGCCGATTTTTCGTAAACTTGAATGGCGTTTTTTTTCTTCAGATTTCTTTGATCCAAAGCATCGGCCTCAGACAGATAAGGACTTGAAACCACATGATGACTACTTGGATCAATATTATTATTATTATTATTATTTCTCTGATCCTCTTCATCTCTATCTTGTTCCCCAATTTTGAACCCAAATCCATAAAACCCTTGAGCTCATCAAACTCCAGGTCGGATAAGCTCTTGCTGGGCCCTACTCTTCTTCTACTTCTGTTTCTTTCACCATGACCATAGACCCTTTTTGTCTGAGCTGCTGGTACTTGTTCTTGTTTCACACTTTGTTTGGAGAACTCTATGACTTGTTTACCAGAGAAAACTGTTTGGAATTTCGGTGTGGTGCTCATGAGGATTGAGTGTGGGGAGAGAGAATCAGAAGAGAAGAGGCTCCCTTTGGTGTTTAAAGATTGGTCTTCACTTAGAGACCTTGGCAAGCATGAAAGGCTGGGGAAATTTGGTACTTATTGTTGGGTTGCTTCTTGGGCTGATTGGTTCACTTGGAGACTTGGGTTTGTTGCTTCTTAGGGTTTTGAAGGGGATTTCTTGCTCAAAATTCCATTTTCAAACCAGTATAATCAAAGATGCTGAGAAGCACTTCTTCTACAGCAGCCGTGTTTTTTTTTTAATGGGTATAGCCGCCTGGCTATACGTTTAAATATATTATTGAAGGCATACCGCCGCGCGCCTACACCTTTTAAATATATTATTTAACGGGTATAGCCGTTCGGCCATACTGTTTAAATATATTATTTCAAGAGTTTAGCCGTCCGGCTATACTATTTATAAAATAAAATAAAAAGGACCCGCCTAGCCCGCCTAGGCGGCCCATTTTTGGAAAACTTGAATGGCGTTTTTTTTCTTCAGATTTCTTTTTCCCTGGCGAGTCTGGCATCTCTGCAAATACATCAAGCTAGGGTTTTAGCAACTCACGTTTATCAACAACGTAAAGGCGTCTCTGAAAATCAGTATTTTCCATTTTCTGTTTTGGTTTATGTTATGTTTGGTTGCTAGGAAGCTGATGATGAACAAATATTCTCTTACCTAAATATTCAGTTTCATGTTTCTTTTGTTGTATTCATTAGTTTGGTTACGAACTGAGTTGGTCTGGTTAACTGACCCAAAAGGTGTATGCCGCTTTCTGGGGCTCCAATTGTTGAGTCATCTCTTCTTTTGAATTTTTTCTTTTTAAATTTCAGATTCAGTTCAGGTTTACCACATATTTTGGTTTTAATTTATGTTTCAATTACTGGGCATATGAAGTCTCATCTGATCCTGAGTTTGAACAATGACCTTGGGATGCTTTGGATCAAAGAAATCTGAAGAGAAAAAACGCCATTCAAGTTTTCCAAAAATCGGCCGCCTAGGCGGGCTAGGCGGGTCCTTTTAAATTGTATAGCCGTGCGGCTATACCCCCTTTAATAATATATTTAAAGCATATAGCCGAACGGCTATACCCCTTTTTTTTTTTAAAAAAAAATAATTTAAGAGGACCTAAGACCAATGACATCCTTCAGGGCTTTTCCTGTGACCCAAAATGGATACTAAGTGATTACCCAAAATCCACTTCGAATACTCTCAAAAATTGTAGTGATTACCCAAACTCACAAGGTTCACCCTAATATATGGAAACCAAGGAGTGGCTTAGAGCTGATGAACAATGACCTTCCCAGCACCAACCCTGAAGAGGCTATGTCCAGCTTCGATTTGTCCAAGAATGATTTATATCTCATATCAGCAACAGGAGGGATGATCTCCATTTTTGACATGACAACATTTAAGGTAAACCCAACACAAACAGTATTCTTGAAATTTTCTTTTCCCATCCGAAACTTCCCAAATCTTGTTTGTCAATATGCGTAGGTTCTGTTTGCAAATTTATCATGATCTAACCCATTTACTCATAAAAATCTGTTGCGTAAAAAAGCAGACGATGAAAAAAGTCATGCCACCACCACCTGCGGCAACATGTCTTGCTTTTCACCCCCGAGATGACAGTATAGTTGCTATTGGCATGGACAATTCCACCATTGTAATATACAATCTCCACTCAGACGAGGTAGTTTGTTTGTTCTTGTAAAAAAAACAAAAATCATGCTCGATGTTGTGATGAAGCTAACCCGAAAAGTTTGTCATTGCCTTGATTTATATATTTTGCAGGTTACAAGGAAGCTTGAGGGTCACGCCAAAAGAGTCACTAGCCTTTCCTTCTCGAACACTCTGAATGTACTAGTTTCTTCTGGTGCTGATGCACATTGGAAACTACAATTACTTTCAGACATGGCTTATACTCTAATGTGACTTCGGTTATTTAACGATGTCATTTTGGCCCTGCAGATTTTTGTGTGGGGTGCTGCTGCTGGGTGGGAAAAACAGAGAAGCAAACTGAAAGGGATGAAATAATGATCAAAACCAATATTCTAGATGCAGTTAACTGGAGCTGGAGTCAAACTTATGAGTAATGAAAAAGAACCATTTTGCAGTCTAGGTAAACTAAGTTTAATTTTTCAAAAAATGACCCTCACAATTTTTCCTCTCAACCTGATTTCATGTCCCCAATATGTCAATATGAAACAGAAATAACAATCACTACTCAATGAAGATCTATTTCCAGATCAGAAAGGAAAATTTCCTTGAGGCCATTGACAAGTGAGAACATCATTTTTTTTTAAAGCTACTTATAATCTGTACATAAACAATCTCCTAAAAAATACCATGTTCTGCATGTTTTTGGTTCATTCTTGACAGCAATTGTCGCACCAAGGCGTTAGATATCCTCACGAAGGATCTCAAAGTTTTTGATGAGGAGCTTTTCAAAGAAAAGCATCACATGTGTATGGGTTCAATCCAACAGGGATCATAAGGCAATCTCTATATGTGGAGATATAATGTCTATGAGGAAGACTATGATGAAAGAACTCAGGCAAATAACTGAGGCAAATCCAGTTTTCCGTGGCAAACTGAAGCATCCTAGCATCAAAAGTCGTAGATTACATAATCTCATTAACCAAAGGTAATGCTTCCTCCTAGTTTTGGTATTCCTTTCTATTTTGTGATTGCATATGTTCATACATATGTGTGTGTGCGTTTGTGTGAGAGAGAGAGTACTTGTTATTCTCATATTTAGTAAAAGATTTAGTCACTTTCTGGTTTTTGTAATTGGGAGAGAGACTGACTTGTGTGTTTAACTTGACAGCTTGAATTGGCAACATAAACAGTGTAAAAACTCTCGTCCAAATCCAGTCATTAATACTCTTTTCGTTGATCATGTTTGTGAACCACAGGAATATGTTCCTTTGCCTCTACCAATTGAAAACAATTTGGAAGTAAGATATGTTCTGGTGACATAAATTTATTTTTCCTAAGTATTTGTCCTCATTAACCAATGATCCTGCTCGGTGTCTACACTTACTGATTTTTGTCCAAATCCAGTTATTAAAACCCTTTTCATTGATCATGTTTGTGAATGGCAGGACTGTTTGTCTTTGTCTCTATCGACTGGGAACAGTTTGCAAGTAAGATATGTTCTGGTAAACTGAAATTCTTTTCTTATTGGTCCTCATTAACCAATATGTTTCCTGCTCATCAGCACACTAGCTGATTTTCTTTTTCTTTTTTTAAACAAGATTTTGTTTAGTCTTTCTGGTTTCTTCTAAGATTGCTCTAACCTTATGTATTTAGCCTTCACAAGCAACATCAAATCCACTTCCAACTTCTTCTGCTGAGCCAAAAGTTTATCTGTAACACAAGGTGCGCTTTCTCCAGGAGCAGTATCTCTCAATGCTGCAAAGAGCCTAGGTATTTTATTTTAGTTCTTCAAGGGATGTTGTTGGGTACTGGTACCCTCTAATTTATGTTTGAAGTGTGTCGTCATTTTACACATTGCATAGTTGTTATTATTAACTTTTGGTTACATTTTTGTGGCTACAGCTATAGAGGTTATTGACTATCCATGCTTGGCCAAAAAAATGTTCTTTCCGATTTTGGATGAGGTAATCTGAATCAAATTTATGTACAGAATTACATAATAGAACTTGTGTTTCTTGACCTTGGTCTTCTTTCATTTGTTTAGTTAAAATCAACTGTTACTGATCCTGGCCAAAGTCACATGTGCCATACCCAATGGTTTGCCCACTACTGTTGCCTGACACTACATGAAGGCTCATCTCCAATGAGCATGGATTTTCATCCCACTTGGCAGACAATTCTTCCATGTTAAGTAATGAGAAACTATGTTCTTTTTTTTTTTTCTCCCATCATTATAAATTTCCTGTCTTTTTAGGATGATCGTGTGCGGTAACTACTTTTGATAGTTCACTCATGAATCCTGCTAATGTGATTCTTCAGTTGGAACTTGTGTTGGAGACATAGGACCACCATGGGATGTTAGTTCCGGGGAAAAGTTGCTTTCGAGAAATTTTAGAGTCTGGAATCTTGACGCAGGCCCGATGGCCTTAAAGGTGCGTCCGCTTCTGGATTATGCACTACTCTTTCAACCTTACTGATATGATCCGAAATTTGAACCAATGTCAATTATTTCAGGAAGCTCTGGTCAAAGATTCATATGCATCTGTTAATCATATCCGATGGAGTCCTGATGGTTCTATATTTGGTGAGAATGTTCTCATACTTAAATGGTGTGTAGTTGCTGATTTTCATTTCATGTAGTTCATATTCACTGCCGTCATGTTCTTCATTGAACAGGGGTTGCATATGCAAAGCACATTGTGCAATTATATTCTTATAATGGAGGCAACAACAATTGGAAGTAAGTTATGAAAACTTTTGAGTATGTGACTTTAAACCTAACCCATCATTTTTCTTACGTAGATTGATGCTCACTTGGGAAGTGTCATCTTAGGGTAAAAACATGGATTTGTTTTTTGTTTTTGATATTAAGAGAGATTACATGAGCCTCAACTAAACCAACATCTTCCATTGCAAAAATGCGATGAAGTGAACATTGAACACCTATCAAAGACTGTTTCGATATTTGTTTTGTTCGAACTACACCAATATAAGAAATCCAGACCTTAGGTAGAAAAAATTAAAGTTCCATCAACACCACCAATAATTGAAATGCTCTTGATCTTGACATCTGTTCTAACAAAAATAAAAAAAATAAAAAAGTGAGTTTTGCTCATTAATTGGGATCAGAGAGGACCTTTCTTATAGTTTGGTGACGGAAATAAACTTCTTCCTCTTAAAAAAATTGAGTAAATAACTGAATTCTACACACACAAAAATACAAGAAATTTGTAGCTCAAGTAATTAAAGAGTATTTACGCTTCCACTCTCCCCTGATAGAACTAAAACAATCCCAAGTCTCAGAGGCTGACATGAGAAGAAGAGCGCAAAATGTAGCCAAAGACAACTTGCCGGCAAACCTCAGCTGCATAAAGCAAGAGTACTGTAAATACCGGCAAGTCATCCTTGGCTGCAATCCAATCTCTTGTGCTTCATGTGAACACTCTGAGACTGCACAAAAGAATTAATGGCTACATATACAAACGATCTACAGTTATTGAATTTTTTTCTCCCTCACATTCACAGATGTATCTCTGATATTGATATACAGTAAAGAAAAGATGTATCTCTGTATCTCTGATATTGATATACAGTAATGCATTTGCTTCTAATTATATAGGCAGAAATGATGATGATAGTTTCACAGTACGGAAACCAGCTTTACAGTAAAGAAAAGAAAAAGAAAAAGAAAACACTTTGCAGTGTGGATATGATTATGCCTCCCAAAGGCCATAACCAATATTCTAATATTTTTTGCAACCTTTTTGCCTCATCTGATTAGCAGAAGAAACTCAGGCTCCGCACATGATCTTTGGGCCCAACTTCACATCCACTGCATCGAATAAAGAAACATATAATAGGGATGGGCTAAATTTTTGATTGCTGTTCTCAGAATAGATTCTTAAACAAGGAAAGGGCCTGTGTGAGATGTTTGGAAGGATAACTTACTCACATACCAAGCATGGGAAGAAAATGGCACAACTTGCATCACACAGATCGAATCATGGTAAACCTTGAGACCCATCTTTCTTCTAGATGTGCATTGAAAGTGAAATAAGTTGTGCAATGCACTGAAGGGATCCATCCACTGGTCATTTGGTACTTTATCTTCTCGGAGGTTGTGGGAGCAAGAATGGTTCGCGGAACAATAGAAAACATGAATTTAAAACAATAACACTTTCATGTTTAATTGTATTATACAAGTAAGCACATATTTTTCAATAATATATAGATCAATGTTTTGTACATGTCTTAAAGACTCGGTAAAATTCATGTTTTTTAAAAAGCAAACTTACAATACTCGTATTGTACATGTACGTACATATTTTTCATGTTTAAAACACATATTTTTTTATAAAATTTTCAGTAGTACACACAAAATTTATGTATTATACACATAATTCGCACATATTATTGAATAAAAATAATATATATTAGAAAATTTTAATTAATTATACCACATTTTTTAAAAAAAAATAAAATAGTATCGCCGAACGGCTATACAGTTTTTGACACGTGCACACATAAGCGCTAGGCAGGCCCTGTATTCTTTTTCCTTTTAAATCGTATAGCCGGGTGGCTATACTCGGGTTTTTTTTAAAACGCAACTGTACTGGGCTTTTTTTTATTTTTTTATTTATCAAAGATAGTAGAGCCGCGCGGCTAATTTTAAAAAATAGTATAGCCGCACGGCCGTACTGGGCTTTTTTCCATTTTTTAAATAAAATAGTACAGCCGACCGGCTAACTCCCCTTTTTTATTTTTTATTTTGTTAAATAGCATAGCCGCGCTGCCTTACGAGGCTCTTTTTCTTTATAATTTTTTTTAATAAATAGTATAGCCGATCGACTATACTCTTTATGTATATATTGGGATCCTTTTTTTCTTTTAAATTTTTCCCCTATTTTCATTTATTGATGGGAATGGTTTAGAGCATTATCCATTACGATTAGGCCACTACCTGAGTCTCTATTGTCCCCTTTTGGATTTTTAATTTTCCATAGTTATTACCCATATAAAGAATTTAGCACTTTCACATTTAATACTATATTATACACGTATGCATGTATTTTTTAATAATAAATCCGTGTTTTGTACACGTCTTAAGACTCGGTAATATTCACGTTTTTTAAAAATCAAACTTACAATACTCATATATTACATGTACATACATATTTTTCATGTTAAATACACACATTGTTTTGTATAAAATTTTTAATAATATACATAAAATTCACGAATACACATAATTCTCACATATTATTGAATAAAAATAATATATGTTAAAAAATTTAAATTAATTATACTTTTTTTTTTTTCATGACATAGTATAGCCTTGCGGCGATACCTTCTAAATATAACATAGTTAAAGAGCATAGCCATGCAGCTATATGATGGTTTGTTTTTAAATAAAATCGTATAGCCGTGCGGCTATACTAGAGTGTTTTTCTAAATAAAATAGTATAGTCGGGCGCCTATACTGTTTTTCATACATGGGCACCTAGGCTCTAGGCAGGTTCTCTTTTCTTTTCATTTTTTTAATTTTATAAATAGTATAGCCACGCGTCGATACTTTATTTTTTCTTTTTTTAAAGTAGTATACCAACGTGGCTTTATTGGGCTCTTTTTTTAAGTAGTATACAAGTATGGCTAATGTCACTGTGTGGTACAAGAACCACTTCCCTACCCCGTGTCACTGCTCTCCTCTGTTTACCTCGCTCCTCCACTAATACTGGAGTAACTCGCAACATCAAGGACATTACATAAGGAATTCTATGTTACACACAGCAGGTGTTATTTGTTTTTCATATACTATGCCACTAGAAGTGCATGTGCTACATATCCAGAAAGTGTCCATTTCCAAATTTCATAGCACCACAAAAATGAGATTTTCTCGACATCCTTGTGCTTTAGTGAGTGCAGATTTTTTGTTGATTTCATTGTCCCCATGGTACCTCTTGAGATATGAAATATTCACATACAACATATCCGTTTACAATTTTATTAGTCTGTTCGGTTTACTGTATTTTATTTTTCTGTTGTCTGGTCCAATGTGATTAGTCAATCTAATATGAATAATATTTTTTTTCTACTGCTTTTCTATGTATCCCTAAGGGCTCATTTAGGAGTGATTTTGGCCATCCAAAATCACTTCTGAGGAGAAGCATCTCCCACATAATTCTCCATATGATCACTTTTAGTGATTTTAAGTGATTATGGGGAAAAGCACCTCTCATATGCTTCTTCATAAAATCACTTCAAATCACTTAAAATGATTATATGGAGAAGTGATTCTTCGTAGAAATGATTATTGGCCTATCTAAAATCACTTCCAAACGAGCCCTAAATCTGTATATACTTTCCCTAAGAAAGATATAAACTAGGGTTCAATATTTTATTGTTGGCGAGATCCTAGTTTGATTGGGAGATTATTTTATTAGGATTTTATTTCTTTCTCTTTTGTACAAATCTTGTGTAATTAGGAGTTTATTGTTTCCTTGTATAACCCTACTATCTTTTTCTTTTAAACCTATCTTTGTTGTGTGTTTTATTTTTCTTTCTTTTAATTCTTGCAATTTAAGTTTTCTTGAATTCATCACTCAAATCAATTAATCGTTCGTTTAATTGAGTTTAGTGTGATTTAATTAATTAAGTTATTTTTATCAGTCCTTGTGGATTCGACCTAGTACTTACATATCTCCATACTATTATTGATTTGTGTACTTGCAAGTAATTTAATTTGTGATTTTTGAATACTTGTGTTCAAAAATCTACATCAATTTGAACCCATCCCTATAAAAGTTCTCTTTATTCCCTGCAGGGGATGTGAAATGGGCCCAAACATCTTCTGATATGGACCTGAGTTTGTTCCCCTAATCAGATTTGGAAGGTTAACGTTCCTGGTTGTGCTCTTGGTTGTTACCTCTTCTGGTAAAATACTTTACCCAAATAATTTTACCAAGTAGCAACAATATACATGCATGTATGTATGTATGCAAAAAAAATTTGTGTGTGTGTTTTTATCTAATCTCAATTTTTACATGTATTGTTAGTAGTTTTGTAGACAAGATATTTAGTTAATAATTGAAGGAAAATTTTGTGGTAGGGATAAAATATGGAGCTGAAGCAAGGTATAAAGTAATTAGATTTCCCTGCAAATCATCATCGTCTGAATGCCCTGACCCAAATAGATGCCATTGCAGCCACACTCTCTGCATCTGTAAGCGAGAAAGACTACTGGACTTCTTTTCTCTAGCCTTCTCTACACACTCGTAAGCCTACAAAGACACTCCATATGGAATATGTTAGAAATTTGCGGTGTCATAGCACCAAAAAAAAAATCTTGAAATAATTGGGACTTCAGGAAACGCACAGAAGTCTGAGATGTGATCAGAACTATTTGAATAAAATAAATAAATAAATAACATCAAATTATGTTTACCAAAAGTAAAATAAAGATGAACTTATATGTCAACAGGAGTGCATGAAATTTATATGTCCAGGATTGAGGGTTCTGCATAAGAACAATGTCATGCTCAATGACTGGGATGTCAATGAGTGTGTTGAGGGGGGCGTATCCCAAAGGAGAGATGTAAAGTCATGCGCCTTACTGAGCTTATAATTTCTCCTCCAATTTCAATTAGTTTTGAGTTGAATGCTACGATTTTATCATCCACAAGGCTCTCACAAAAGGGAAATCGCCGAAACACGTTATGATTTAACTCCTCCAGCTGCTGCAGACAGAAAACACAATCAAAAATTTGCATTAGCATCACAATTATAAAGTAAATTCTTCTCACCCTCTCCAGTTGTAGGCGTTGGTCCTTGAATCTCACATGAGAGAAAAAAGAGCAAACGTGAACCAAGGACAGCTTGCCAGAAGATAAACAAGTGGAAAGGCCATATGCTTTGGCAAGTCATCCTTGGCTCATATCTACTCTCCATCTCCTCATGCAAGACTCTTGAACAAATGGTATTTTTATTAATCTGAACCACTTCAGTTCATTTACATAATGCAGCATTGTCATCCTATTTATAGCCATAGACTGCATGCAGACAACTCATACCTCAAAAATTAAAGGTATGATTCTATTCCATCGTGTGACAATTAAAGCTCTTCCACTTTTGGAATTGTTGATGCTCTTTTTGGGAGGTCAACTTAGAGAGTAGGTGATAATGAATGATGAGTGAATGTGAGGACCTTCAGCATGTGTGTGAAGACTTGGGCAAGCGATAAATGTAAAGAAGACAAGATATACGCGGTTCACCCTTAATGAATGAGCTACGTCCACGGAGAAGTATGTTCTCATTATAATAGTGTATGATTACATTTGTACATGGGGTTGGACCCGAATATAAAGATGACAAGTGAGATGCCCAGGCCAGGGATCTAGAAGAGAGTCCCCGGCCCTAGGGTCTAGCTCTGAGACCCGGATCCTCTTCTAAGTGGAGAGAAGCAGTCCCCTTTTCACATGGATACTATTCCCTATTTATAGGGAGGTGAAAGCGGGAGGTTTGTGTAGATTTCCAATGTGGGACTTTGCGCAAGTCGTTGTAGTGGTGAACACGTGTCTTGTAGAGTAGGTTTGGAAATTTAGGAGCTTCGGCAGTCAGGGGCTTGTCTTCCTTCGGCAGGGAAGAAGGCATGTTTGCCTTGGTGCTAGTTGTTTTAAGGCTGGATATGCTTGGTTGATTATGGTGTAAACAGGAATATATGTAACCTTTTTTTATGGGAAGCTCATATTTTACATCATTTTCCTTCTATATATAGTTGGAAAGAAAAGAAGGGCGTTGACTTGTTCAGATTGAGTGCTTGAGTTGAGTGGGAGCCATGCATGCATGTAGTTGTGGCATGATAAGGCATCTCTGTCTCTGCAGAGGATAAGTTCGATTTTCTCTATTTCTTTATGTGGGTTTTCTACAAAGACACTACGTACAGTAGTGCCCCGAATCATATTCTATTTAAATCTTATTAAAGTGTTTGCTAAGGATTGTATCATGATCGGGACTTTGGCCACTATTAATACATGATGTTGTGATTAATTTTGCAAGACCAGCATCTTCCAAGTCACGTATTTTCTTAAGATGCTGCGTGGAGCAGGGTCACGGGACTACTAACACATAATCTTGAGCTATCCGCAAATAATTCACTGCTAATATAATGTAGCTTTAAATGTATATCCTTGACGACATGGTACATAACCACTAAAAATATGTAGGGTGAGAATTCGTTTTCGTGTGATCAAGAGTATACATCTACACGAACACGATCGGGCACAATTATATATGTGTAACACAAGACATATAACCCGTATACTTATCCTGTACAACATAAAATATTTAGAGGAAAACAAAGTTTGACAATCCTCACATCATTATAATGAGAGTGAGTCAAACTTGGTACACAAGTGCGCCTTAAATGGTAAAAACTTGGTTTTCTTGTAGTGTTTATCAGATGCTATATTCCAAATCTAATTTCGATACACAAGTGCGCTGACCCAGGTGATTTGATAGAGGTCGATCTGGAGATATATCATATATATATATATATATATTATTGTCATTTTTTGTTACAAATGCACCCAACATGCTCATGTTTTACCCGACTTTTTAGAAAGAATAGTGTGCAATTTCACTAAACTTTGTCAAAACTTCGGTCCTAATAAGATGGCAGAGGATTTTTATATGTGCATTTAAATCAAAAGAATGATCACCTGCAAAATTTTATAACGAAATTGCTTCTTAAACTTAATTAAAAATCTAAAGGCTTTTATATAGCCATGGTACGTACTTCTCTTTCCAATGTTAGAAGAGGTTCCAAGTTCGGACCCCTCCAAACTCAACCCTATTGATAAAAAAACCAATCAAACACTTTGTTTTAATAAAGAAAAAAAAGTCTTATTAGGGCATCAATTTTATTTTCACAAAATGATTGTGTTTCTCATTGATATAAGGTGTCCCAAACCAACGTACTCTCTCTCTCAAATTTCAAGACCTCCAATCAGATTCTATATTCTGCAAAATATGATCTCCCATGCAGCATGTCAACCATATTCCCAAATCTGATCAGTGCTGACCAGAAGAGATAACGATATCGCGGTGCCAAAGAGATACATTCAAACAACTCTCTTTTAACTTTTTGGATGGCAAGGCATAAGAATGCATGGCACTCACATGTTCATGTCTCTGAGAGTGGGTTCAACGTGTACACAGAATATATGTTCATTTCTCTCCTCATTTTTCTTCAACTTTCTGTGGCCATATATAGCATTCGCATCCCCACCATTTCTAAAGCAAGAAACAATGGAAACTTAGATTGGCAAGCAATGATTTTTCTAAAGCATTGCATGGAAAACAATGGAAACTGAGCCAAGGATGAATTGCCGGCATTGTATATATACGCCTCAAAATGCAATCTATATTTGTCGACCGGCAATTTGTTCTTGGCTATGTTGGGCTCTCTTCGTTCCATGCAATGCCATGACATACGAGATGTGGAATTCACATATGAATTTCTTATTTATTAGTTGTAAATGTCCAGAGGTAGGTACCTGCTCACTAACAGTATCATTTAGATCAATTGGTAAGGTTAATGCTAAGATGTTTTGGTGAAAAACCATTGTGAAATTTGTGTTTAAGTCTCTTTTTTACTGAAAAGGATTTTAATCCAAGGAAATGAACCCTATAAATACAAGTTTTTAAGAACATAGAAGGGACCGCACATCACGCTTTCTTTATTAAATTTTACTGCTTTCTATGAATAGAAGTAATAGCTTTTCAACGTATCTTTCCTTCGAAGAAGTAATCCATTTTGCTTAGGGTTTTGCTAGTCATGGCACAATTAGGGCAGGTCCCATTGATTTTGAAAGCCCTGTACAAAGAGAAATATTGAGACCCCATACATGTAAGTGAAAAAATTTCACAATCAATAAATAGAACTAAACATATCCTTAGTGGCATCATTTACACGGTGGTGGTTGATTACCTCTCCTCTCCTACCTCCCACCCCCCGGCACCCACCCAGGATTGAACCTTAGGTGGGGTTTCTTTCCTCCAATGTAATAATAACGAAGCTTATGTCTTCGGTGAAAAGATAATAATACAAAGTACATCAACATGGTATCAATAATCGATGAATGAATTAATGGTGGTGTATCAACAGCACGCTAGAACCTCTTTTTCTGGATTTAATATTATATTTGGACTTTCATATTTTATAAGATTTTGTTAGGGAATTGAAAACAAAAAGAAGCCCATTTTCTTATTTTCTTTTGTCAAAAGGCCTTTATTTTTCGGAAAGTGAAATATGGATAAGTAAAGGGCCTGTTTTGGCTTCTTTTATAAGTGGGCTTTAAAAAAATTTAGAGACTCATAAAATAATTTGGGTGGCAAAATAATTAATCAAAAAATTATGGTGTAAACCATTTTGGAGCAAATGCTCTATAAAATAGAAGCACCCTAAAAGTTGATACATAAGTACTTACAAATGCAGTTGCCTTCCCCTTACTGTTTCGATAGCCACTGGATCTACAAAATGTAATCAAACCAGTGAATAGTAAACAAGACTGCAAAATAGAGGTTATAAATTGACAAAATGGAAAGCATCATCTAAACCTGTTTGAAGAGGACCTAAGGAGCTGCCACTGATACCAACAACAATGACATCCTTGAGGGCTTTTCCTGTGGCACCAACCTACCAGAATTGCCAATTCCTTCACAATTCAGGCAATATGGACCCAAAATGGATACTAAAAACAATTGTAGTGATTATCCAAAATCTACTTCGAATACTCTCAGAAAACTTTTGGATCTTGTCCAGAACTTCCCCATCACTCTGTATAACTGCATCCCTTGGAGCATGAAGAGCTACATGAAGCACTGATCTATTTTATGTGCTGTTTATCTGAAGGCACCACCCAGAAAAAGAAAAACAGAATGCAAAAGAATCACATGATAATGGTTTCACAAATAAGCTGGTCTCATCTTTACCATAAATCCTATAAAGCTATCAAATACAAGTTTTTTGTGATTTCAGACAGTTAAAAGGTCAGAAATTTGGGCATCCTAATTTTAATTAGGAGACACCAACTAGCTATTGTTCTACTGCTAGTTCTCTCCACTTTGTTGGAAGAGGTTCCAAATTTTAATCCCTTCCCCCAGATCCGAAAAATATATTTATTTATTTTAAATAGGAAACACTTCTTGCTAATTGCAGATAAAAAGTGTTTAAATTAGCATTTTAGTTCCATATTCATCCACATAATACTCGACCAAAGGAAGATAAACTTGAATCTCCACCAAACATTCGGTTAATCTTTTCTTTGAGGGATAGACAACATCAATTAGAAAACATGCCCTGAAAATGGCTATAACTAGTGGATCTCCCTGTCCCCATCCATTTCATGTTTATGCATACTTTAACTCATGCCCTGAAAATAACACATAAAACAACAAAAGTGGATACTCACGCGGAACGTAAACAAGTAACTCAGGATCACCCTCATTGCTCTCCAAGTGTTCCTGTTGCAGAAAGTAGGATCAGATGAGACTTCATAAGCCCAGTAATTGAAACATAAGTTAAAACCAAAGTATATGGTAAACCTGAACTGAATCTCAACCAATGATTCAGCAATTTTTTGGCCCAAGATGAGGGTTTTTCCTCTTCTACAGCAGCCGTATTATCTTGCCTCTCTCTGGGAGTTTTTTATTTACTCTTCCTGCCCATCTTACGGATCCCAAAGTTGCATTTCACCCAGATTACATTACTGAGAATTGACAAAAATGAAATTTAAAAAGAAAAAATTCAAAATAAGAGATGACTCAACAATTGGAGCCCCAGAAAGCAGCATACTCCTTTTGGGTCATTTAACCAGACCAACTCAGTTTGTAACCAAACTAATGAATACAACAAAAGAAACATGAAACTGAATATTTAGGTAAGAGAATATTTGTTCATCATCAACTTCCTAGCAACCAAACATAACATAAACCAAAACAGAAAATGGAAAATACTGATTTTCAGAGACGCCTTTACGTTGTTGATAAACGTGAGTTGCTAAAACCCTAGCTTGATGTATTTGCAGAGATGCCAGACTCGCCAGGGAAAAAGAAATCTGAAGAAAAAATACGCCATTCAAGTTTTCCAAAAATGGGCCGCCTAGGCGGGTCCTTTTTATTTTATTTTATAAATAGTACAGCCGAGCGGCTATACTCCTTAAATAATATATTTAAAGGGTGTAGCCGCGCAGCGGTATGCCTTAAATAATATATTTAAAAGTATAGCCGGACGGCTATACCACCCTTTTTAAAAAAAAATTAAATAAAACATTGGGTATGGCACATGTGACTTTGGCCAGGATCAGTAACAGTTGATTTTACCTAAACAAATGAAAGAAGACCAAGGTCAAGAAACACAAGTTCTATTATGTAATTCTGTACATAAATTTGATTCAGATTACCTCATCCAAAATCGGAAAGAACATTTTTTTGGACAAGCATGGATCTTGTCCAGAACTTCCCAAACATCTAGGACCACATTTTCCCCATCACTCTGTATAACTGCATCCCTTGGACCAAATTTGATTCAGATTACCTCATCCAACTAGCTATTGTTCTACTGCTAGTTCTCTCCACTTTGTTGGAAGAGGTTCCAAATTTTAATCCCTTCCCCTAAATCCGAAAAATAAATTTAAAATAAATAAATAAATAGGAAACACTTCTTGCTAATTGCAGATAAAAAGTGTTTAAATTAGCATTTTAATTCCATATTTATCCACATAATACTCGACCAAAGGAAGATAAACTTGAATCTCCACCAAACATTCGGTTAATCTTTTCTTTGAGGGATGCAGCCTGCATTGTGGCATAGACAACATCAATTAGAAAACACTATATTCACCCAATCCCTCCCCCCACAAGACAGGAGCGTGAAATTGCCTGAGAGTGGGGGTGCATTTGTGGATGGGGACATGAGCCTTGAGGCATGTAAAGAGAAGTGTTTGGAGAACTGTTCTTGCACTGCTTATTGTTACATGGAGATTTCAAACGGAGGGAGAGGTTGCGTCATGTGATTTGGGGAGCCAATGGACATGAGGGTATATGCAGATGGTGGCCAAGATCTCTATGTTTTAGGCGGGGGCTAGGCTGGGACTAGGCGGGCTAGGCGGGCTGGGCTGGAGCTAGGCTCGCTAGGCGGTCTAGGCGGCCTCTAGGCGGTCTAGGCGGGCGACATGAGGGTATATGCAGATGGTGGCCAAGATCTCTATGTTTTAGGCGGGGGCTAGGCTGGGACTAGGCGGGCTAGGCGGGCTGGGCTGGAGCTAGGCTCGCTAGGCGGTCTAGGCGGCCTCTAGGCGGTCTAGGCGGGCGACATGAGGGTATATGCAGATGGTGGCCAAGATCTCTATGTTCTGGGCGGGGGTTTGGCGGGTTAGGCGGGCTAGGCGGGCTAGGCGGTCGCTAGGCGCGGGTCTAGGCGGTCTAGGCGGGCGCTGCGCCTTGAAAAAAAAACGCCATTTTGGAATCTCCAAGGTCAGGGAAGAGATAACGATGGTGCTATGAGCGAGAGACAGAGAGATGAGGATTGAAGAAGAAGTCTGAGCGAGAGAGAGGGGCTGGAAGACGGCTCTTGTTAGAGTTAGGGTTTGAGAAGGAAAATTGCATTTATATGTTGAAGGAAAAAAAAACAAAAGAAGAGATGGGCCCCCGATTAATTCTCATTCTGAAACCCCTTTTATTTTTCTCTCGTGTTTTGTTCCACTATTCAGTTCTGTCCTCTTTTATGTTGGTTGGTAGATCTTCATTTCTTGTAATATTTGTGTGATCTTTTTTTTTCTTTTTTTTTCTTTTTGTGTGTGTGTGTGTGTATGCAGTGCAGGTGCCAAAGACTGGAAAAGGCAAGAAAAAAGGCTCGAACCGTTAACAAGGAAGGATAATGACATCCTTCAGGGCTTTTCCTATGGCACCAACCTACCAGAATTGCCAATTACTTCACAATTCAGGAAATATGGACCCAAAATGGATACTAAAAAAATTGTAGTGATTACCCAAATTCACAAGGTTCACCCTAATTTATGGAAACCAAGGAGTGGCTTAGAGCTGATGAACAATGACCTTCCCAGCACCAACCCTGAAGAGGCTATGTCCTGCTTTGATTTGTCCAAGAATGATTCATCTCTCATATCAGCAACAGGAGGGATGATCTCCATTTTTTACATGACAACATTTAAGGTAAACCCAACACAAATAGTATTCTTGAAATTTTCTTTTCCCACCCAAAACTTCCCAAATCTTGTTTGTCAATATGTGTAGGTTCTGTTTGCAAATTTCTCATGATCTAACTCATTGTACTCATAAACATCTGTTGCGTAAAAACGCAGACAATGAAAAAAGTCATGCCACCGCCACCTGTGGCAACATGTCTTGCTTTTCACCCCCGAGATGACAGTATAGTTGGTATTGGCATGGACAATTCCACCATTGTAATATACAATCTCCACTCAGACGAGGTAGTTTGTTTGTTCTTGTAAAAAAAACAAATAATGCTCGATGTTGTGATGAAGCAAACCTGAAAAGTTTGTCATTGCCTCGATTTATATATTTTGCAGGTTACAAGGAATCTTGAGGGTCACGCCAAAAGAGTCACTAGCCTTTCCTTGAGGCCATTGACAAGTGAGAACATCATTTTTTTTAAGCTTCTTATAATCTATACATAAACAATCTCTTAAAAAATACCATGTTCTGCAAGTTTTTGGTTCATTGTTGACAGCAATTGTCACGCCAAGGCATTAGATATCCTCATGAAGGATCTCAAAATTTTTGCCGAAGGTAATGAGGAGCTGTTCAAAGAAATGCATCACATGTGTATGGGTTCAATCCAACAGGGATCATAAGGCACCCTCTATATGCGGAGATATAATGTCCATGAGGAAGACTATGATGAAAGAACTGAGGCAAATAACTGAGGCAAATCCAGTTTTCCGTGGCAAACTGAAGTATCCTAGCATCAAAAGTCATAGATTAAATAATCTCATTAACCAAAGGTAATGCTTCCTCCTAGTTTTGGTCTTCCTTTCTATTTTGTGATTGCATATGTTCATACATATGCGTGTGCGCGTTTGTGTGTGTGAGAGAGTACTTGTTATTCTCATATTTAGTAAAAGATTTAGTCACTTTCTGGTTTTTGTAATTGGGAGAGAGACTGACTTGTGTGTTTAACTTGACAGCTTGAATTGGCAGCATAAACAGTGTAAAAACCCTCGTCCAACCCTGAAGAGGCTATGTCCTGCTTTGATTTGTCCAAGAATGATTCATCTCTCATATCAGCAACAGGAGGGATGATCTCCATTTTTGACATGACAACATTTAAGATAAACCCAACACAAAATAGTATTCTTGAAATTTTCTTTTCCCATCCAAAACTTCCCAAATCTTGTTTGTCAATATGCGTAGGTTCTGTTTGCAAATTTCTCATGATCTAACTCATTGTGCTCATAAACATCTGTTGCGTAAAAACGCAGACAATGAAAAAAGTCATGCCACCACCACCTGTGGCAACATGTCTTGCTTTTCACCCCCGAGATGACAGTATAGTTGCTATTGGCATGGACAATTCCACCATTGTAATATACAATCTCCACTCAGTGTTGAGAATTAAGCTGCATGCTCAGCTTAAATCAACCAGCAGATGACAATCCTGCAGATTGGAATTGAAGAGATGAAGAATTAGTTTTTCTTTTTAAATAGCCGTTAGTTTAAATATGTAACAGCTTTATTTCTGTTTTTAGAAACCAGCACAGCTGTTATTTTTGTCCTATTTGGTTTGTACTGGGTCATCCGATCTTTCTCCAAGTGGAAAGATCGTAGCCTCCTATGGTTTGAATGGCTGGAGATGAGTCCTTGCTCCCTAAAAACTAGGGTCTGTTTTTTGACTGAGATAGGAATGTAGTCATGTAATACCTCTGCGTTTTCTGATAGAGATATATACTGAAACATTCAAATCCTCTGTTTTCTTCTATCCTTCTTTCTCCTATAGGTTTCAGCTTCTGTTTTCAACCTAAAGTATTAAGCTTGATACTAATTGAACATGGTATCAGAGCTCCTGGTTTGATTCCGGAGAGGGGCGTGAGCTGTGAGAGAGAGGTCTTTCCTGAAATTCCTAAAAGGGATAAAGGTTGCTCTTTTATTGTGTGGTTCACTGAGACTCACATAAAAATGGTGGGATCAGGTTCTTCAGGTGGAGATTTACGAACTCCACAGTTTGATGGTGCAAACTATGATTTACGAACTCCACAGTTTCATGTTATTGAAACCCTTTTCATTGATCATGTTTGTGAATGGCAGGACTGTTTGTCTTTGTCTCTATCGACTGGGAACAGTTTGCAAGTAACATATGTTCTGGTAAACTGAAATTCTTTTCTTATTGGTCCCCATTAACCAATGCTTCCTGCTCATCAGCCACACTAACCTTATGTATTTATCCTTCACAGGCAACACCAAATTCACTTCCAAACTTCTTCTGCTGAGCCAAAAATTTATCTGTAACACAAGATGCGCTCTCTCCGGGAGCAGTATCTCTCAATGCTGCAAAGAGCCCAGGTATTTTATTTTAGTTCTTCAAGTGATGTTGTTGGGTACTGGTACCCTCTAATTTATGTTTGAAGTGTGTCGTCATTTTATACATTGCATAGTTGTTATTATTAACTTTTGGATACATTTTTGTGGCTACAGCTATAGAGGTTATTGACTATCCATGTTTGTCCAAAAAATCTTGTTTCCGATTTCGGATGAGGTAATCTGAATCAAATTTATGTACAAAATTACATAATAGAACTTGTGTTTCTTGACCTTGGTTTTCTTTCATTTGTTTAGGTAAAATCAACTGTTACTGATCCTGGCCAAAGTCACATGTCCACAGTTGCCATACCCAATGGTTTGCCCACTACTGTTGCCCTGACACTAAATGAGAGCTCATCTCCAATGAGCACGGATTTTCATCCCATTTGGCAGACAATTCTTCTATGTTAAGTAATGAGAAACTATGTTCTTTTTTCTTTTCTCCCATCGTTATAAATTTCCTGTCTTTTTAGGATGATCGTGTGCGGTAACTTCTTTTGACAGTTCACTCATGAATCCTGCTAATGTGATTCTTCAGTTGGAACTTGTGTTGGAGACATAGGACCACCATGGGATGTTAGTTCCGGGGAAAAGTTGCTTTTGAGAAATTTTAGAGTCTGGAATCTTGACATAGGCCCGATGGCCTTAAAGGTGCGTCTACTTCTGGATTATGCACTACTCTTTCAACCTTACTGATATGATCCGAAATTTGAACCAATACCAATTATTTCAGGAAGCTCTGGTCAAAGATTCATATGTATTTGTTAAATGTATATATCCGATGGAGTCCTGATGGTTCTATATTTGGTGAGAATGTTCTCATACTTAAATGGTATGTAGTTGCTGATTTTCATTTCTTGTAGTTCATATTCAGTGCCGTCGTCTTCTTCATTGAACAGGGGTTGCATATGCAAAGCACATTGTGGAATTATATTCTTATAATGGAGGCAACGACATTTTTGTAAAAACAGTATAGCCGGGCGGCTATACTTGATTTTTAAATATTTTTGAGATTGTTTCTGTTGAGAATTGCCTAAAAGATAGCCATACGACATTGGGATACAATGTATATGATGGAGGGAAAATATGCAAATTATGTTGTTGGATTGTATGTTGTATGATGATGAAAATTTTAATTTTCAGGCTATCATACTTTGTATCAGTGGTACCGATTGGTGGAGAGTGAGCACTTTCCAGATCCAACTGGCCTTCGAGCTCGAATAGAACAATGGACTTTTGGCCTTCATCCAGCATGCATCAAGTATTTCATGTCTGCATTAGATGTTCCAGACGTATGGAAAGCTCTTTTGCAAACTTATTTTTACTCTTCTTTGTTGCATTCTGACGATGAAGAAATCTTATCAGGTTATGGCTGTCACCCGAAACAATATATGCAAGAATGGGATGGAATCACTATCTAGAGCGGGTGCCATAATCTATTATGCTTCCGTCTTCCTTTATTTCTGGGTGTTCTCAACTCCTGTAGTTTCTTCAGTACTTGGAAGTTAATTATATATCTGAATTAACTGGCTTCACATACACTTTGACGAAGCCTTCTCCTCCCTTTGAATTGCTAATTACAAGTCATTCACCCGATTCCACATCAAAAGTGACGGTGATCTTGAAGTCTACACTCTTGCAGTTGATAAGGTAAGAATGTGATGCGTGTTCAATTTCAAGAGTTTAAAGCTAATTCAAACATGCAGGTCCCGAAAGAGTGAAAGCTAGACCCTGAATGGGACAGGGAGCCAAGACAGCCACAACAAATAAGTCTACACTGTTAAATACCGTTAAAATTGTTGATCACTTTGTTATTCGACAAACAGATAAAACTGTTAATGGAGCAAGTGATGGATCAGTAATTAGCTGATCTGGGCTTGTGTTCTATCTGTAACATTATTGTAGTTCCCTTCGCTTAGATAGCAATGAAAGAAAAAAAGAAAAAAAAGGGTCTAGCCGAGCGGCTATACTATTTAAATATATTATTTAAGGACAGCCGTGGCGCTGTACGGTTTAATTATAGTACAGCCGATCGGCTATACCTTTCAAATATATTATTAAAGGAGTATAGCCTAGCGACCATACTTTTTAAATATATTATTTAAAGAGTATAGCCGCGCGGCTATACAATTTATAAAATAAAATAAAAAGTACCCGCCTAGCCCGCCTAGGCGGCCAATTTTTGGAAAACTTGAATGGCGTTTTTTTTTCTTCAGATTTCTTTGATCCAAAGCATCGGCGTCAGACAGATAAGGACTTGAAACCACATGATGACTACTTGGATCAATATTATTATTATTATTATTTCTCTGATCCTCTTCAGCTCTATCTTGTTCCCCAAAACTTCCAAGCCTTTGCAAACCAGGAATTATGGAAACCAATTTCGAACCTTGTCTTCCTCAGTGAACACAAAACTCAAATCCATAAAACCCTTGAGCTCATCAAACTCCGGGTCAGACAAGCTCTTGCTGGGCCCTACTCTTCTTCTACTTCTGTTTCTTTCACCATGACCATAGACCCTTTTTGTCTGAGCTGCTGGTACTTGTTCTTGTTTCACACTTTGTTTGGAGAACTCTATGACTTGTTTACCAGAGAAAACTGTTTGGAATTTTGGTGTGGTGCTCATGAGGATTGAGTGTGGGGAGAGAGAATCAGAAGAGAAGAGGCTCCCTTTGGTGTTTAAAGATTAGTCATCACTTAGAGACCTTGGCAAGCATGAAAGGCTGGGGAAATTTGGTACTTCTTGGGCTTATTGGTCCACTTGGAGACTTGGGTTTGTTGCTTCTTGGGGTTTTGAAGGGGATTTCTTGCTCAACATTCCATGTTCAAACCAGTATGAATCAAAGAGGCTGAGAAGCACTTCTTCTTCTTCTTCTTCTTCTTCTACCGCAGCGTTTTTGTTTTTTTAAGGCGTATAGCCGCCCGGCTATACTGTTAAATATATTATTTAAGGCATACCGCCGGGCGCCTGCACCTTTTAAATATATTATTTAACGGGTATAGCCGGTCGGCCATACTGTTTAAATATATTATTTCAAAGGTATAGCCGTGCGGCTATACTATTCATAAAATAAAATAAAAAGGACCCGCCTAGCCCGGCCTAGGCGGCCTATTGGATTTGATGAATTGAATGGCGTGGTGGTTTTTTTTTTTTTTTTTTTTTTTTTTTTTTTTTTAGATTTTTTTTTTTTCCTGGTGGATCTGGCATCCCTGCAAATACATCAAGCTAGGGTTTTAGCGACTCACGTTTATCAACAACGTAAAGGCGTCTCTGAAAATCAGTATTTTCCATTTTCTGTTTTGGTTTATGTTATGTTTGGTTGCTAGGAAGCTGATGATTCAGTTTCATGTTCCTTTTGTTGTATTGATTAGTTTAGTTACAGAAGGAGTTGGTCTGGTTAAATGACCCAATTGTTGAGTCATCTCTTCTTTTGAATTTTTTCTTTTTAAATTTCAGATTCAGTTCAGCTTTCAATTACTGGGCATATGAAGTCTCATCTGATCCTACCTTCTGCAACACTTGGAGAGCAATGAGAGTGATCCTGAGTTTGAACAATGACCTTGGGATGCTTTGGATCAAAGAAATCTGAAGAGAAAAAACGCCATTCAAGTTTTCCAAAAATCGGCCGCCTAGGCGGGCTAGGCGGGTCCTTTTAAATTGTATAGCCGTGCGGCTATACCCCCTTTAATAATATATTTAAAGCATATAGCCGAACGGCTATACCCTTTTTTTTTTTTTTTTTTTTTTTGACCTAAGACCAATGACATCCTTCAGGGCTTTTCCTGTGACCCAAAATGGATACTAAAAGATTTGTAGTGATTACCCAAAATCCACTTCGAATACTCTCAAAAATTGTAGTGATTACCCAAACTCACAAGGTTCACCCTAATATATGGAAACAATGACCTTCCCAGCACCAACCCTGAAGAGGCTATGTCCAGCTTCGATTTGTCCAAGAATGATTTATATCTCATATCAGCAACAGGAGGGATGATCTCCATTTTTTACATGACAACATTTAAGGTAAACCCAACACAACCAGTATTCTTGAAATTTTCTTTTCCCATCCAAAACTTCCCAAATCTTGTTTGTCAATATGCGTAGGTTCTGTTTGCAAATTTCTCATGATCTAACCCATTGTACTCATAAAAATCTGTTGCGTAAAAAAGCAGACGATGAAAAAAGTCATGCCACCTCCACCTGCGGCAACATGTCTTGCTTTTCACCCCCGAGATGACAGTATAGTTGCTATTGGCAAGGACAATTCCACCATTGTAATATACAATCTCCACTCAGACGAGGTAGTTTGTTTGTTGTAAAAAAAAAAAAAAAAAAAAAAAAAAAGTGATGAAGCGAACCCGAAAAGTTTGTCATTGCCTTGATTTATATTTTTGCAGGTTACAAGGAAGCCTGAGGGTCATGCCAAAAGAGTCACTAGCCTTTCCTTCTCGAACACTCTGAATGTACTAGTTTCTACTGGTGCTGATGCATATTGGAAACTACAATTACTTTCAGACATGGCTTATACTCTAATGTGACTTCTGTTATTTAACGATGCCATTTTGGCCCTGCAGATTTTTGTGTGGGGTGCTGCTAATGGGTGGGAAAAACAGAGAAGCAAACTGAAAGGGATGAAATAATGATCAAAACCAATATTCTAGATGCAGTTAACTGGAGCTGGAGTCAAACTTATGAGCAATGAAAAAGAACCATTTTGCAGTCTAGGTAAACTAAGTTTAATTTTTCAAAAAATGACCCTCACAATTTTTCCTCTGAACCTGATTTGATGTCTCCAATATGTCAATATGAAACAGAAATAACAATCACTACTCAACGAAGATCTATTTCCAGATCAGAAAGGAAAATTTCCTTGAGGCCATTGACAAGCGAGAACATCATTTTTTTTTCTAAAGCTTCTTATAATCTATACATAAACAATATCTTAAAAAATACCATGTTCTGCATGTTTTTGGTTCATTCTTGACGGCAATTGTCGCGCCAAGGCGTTAGATATCCTCATGAAGGATCTCAAAGTTTTTGCCGAAGGTAATGAGGAGCTTTTCAAAGAAATGCATCACATGTGTATGGGTTCAACCGAAGTATCCTAGCATCAAAAGTCGAAGATTACATAATCTCATTAACCAAAGATAATGCTTCCTCCTAGTTTTGGTATTCCTTTCTATTTTGTGATTGCATATGTTCATACATATGTGTGTGTGCGTTTGTGTGAGAGAGAGAGAGAGTACTTGTTATTCTCATATTTAGTAAAAGATTTAGTCACTTTCGGGTTTTTGTAATTGGGAGAGAGACTGACTTGTGTCTTTAACTTGACAGCTTGAATTGGCAGCATAAACAATGTAAAGACCCTCGTCCAAATCCAGTCAGTAAGACTCTTTTCGTTGATCATGTTTGTGAACCACGGGAAAATGTTCCTTTGCCTCTACCAATTGAAAACAATTTGGAAGTAAGATATGTTCTGGTGACATAAATTTATTTTTCCTAAGTATTTGTCCTCATTAACCAATGATCCTGCTCGGTGTCTACACTTACTGATTTTTGTCCAAATCCAGTTATTAAAACCCTTTTCATTGATCATGTTTGTGAATGGCAGGACTGTTTGTCTTTATCTCTATCGACTGGGAACAGTTTTCAAGTAAGATATGTTCTGGTAAACTGAAATTCTTTTCTTATTGGTCCTCATTAACCAATATGTTTCCTGCTCATCAGCACCACTAGCTGATTTTCTTTTTCTTTTTTTAAACAAGATTTTGTTTAGTCTTTCTGGTTTCTTCTAAGATTGCTCTAACCTTATGTATTTAGCCTTCACAAGCAACATCAAATCCACTTCCAACTTCTTCTGCTGAGCCAAAAGTTTATCTGTAACACAAGATGCGCTTTCTCCAGGAGCAGTACTATCTCTCAATGCTGCAAAGAGCCTAGGTATTTTATTTTAGTTCTTCAAGGGATGCTGTTGGGTACTGGTACCCTCTAATTTATGTTTGAAGTGTGTCGTCATTTTACACATTGCATAGTTGTTATTATTAACTTTTGGTTACATTTTTGTGGCTACAGCTATAGAGGCTATTGACTATCCATGCTTGGCCAAAAAAATGTTCTTTCCGATTTTGGATGAGGTAATCTGAATCAAATTTATGTACAGAATTACATAATAGAACTTGTGTTTCTTGACCTTGGTCTTCTTTCATTTGTTTAGTTAAAATCAACTGTTACTGATCTTGGCCAAAGTCACATGTGCCATACCCAATGGTTTGCCCACTACTGTTGCCTGACACTACATGAAGGCTCATCTCCAATGAGCATGGATTTTCATCCCACTTGGCAGACAATTCTTCCATGTTAAGTAATGAGAAACTATGTTCTTTTTTTTTTCTCCCATCATTATAAATTTCCTGTCTTTTTAGGATGATCATGTGCGGTAACTACTTTTGATAGTTCACTCATGAATCCTGCTAATGTGATTCTTCAGTTGGAACTTGTGTTGGAGACATAGGACCACCATGGGATGTTAGTTCCAGGGAAAAGTTGCTTTTGAGAAATTTTAGAGTCTGGAATCTTGACGCAGGCCCGATGGCCTTAAAGATGCGTCTGCTTCTGGATTATGCACTACTCTTTCAACCTTACTGATATGATCCGAAATTTGAACCAATGTCAATTATTTCAAGAAGCTCTGGTCAAAGATTCATATGCATCTGTTAATCA